GAGACAAACGCACAACCGAAATGGCCACCCTGATCCAGGAGATCTTCGAGTCTGCGGTAGTGACCACCAACTACCCACGATCCCAAATAGACATCTTTGTTCAAGTCATGCAGGCGGACGGAGGTCAGTTGAGTGCGTGCGTCAACGCTGCTTGTCTGGCACTGATCGACGCCGGTATACCCTTGTCAGACTATGTGTGCTCGGTGACGTCGAGCTTTATTGAGGATACGCCGATCTTAGGTATGGCGTGTAGTAGGGGTGGGTGTGTGGTGGTGTGTGTGTGGGGGGGGTCATTGGGGTGGTCAGGTGTATAGTGAGACGGGTCATTAGCTGCTATCGTATGTGTAAGATATATCATACGTACGGGTAGACACATACGCACATATTTGAAGCGTGTATACGTTTGTGTCTATAGTGTGTGTGTTTGGTGATTGTTGCATAGCCTGTGTACGTTTATGCCTCTCATGGGTGTGTTTAGTGAGGGGATGTCGAGTGCATGTGCGTGGGATCGTAATGTCTTGATGCGCATGTATTGCATGGTATGGTTACTATCTATCAGCGACAGAGAAGTGCCGTAACAGGGCAATGCGTACCCAATTCCGTATTATACCTACTCAACTCTCTTCGTTGTGGTTGCTATGGCTACCCTCAGATCTCAATCAGACTGAGAAAAGTGCGGGTGGCCCTGAGATGGTTGTGGCTGTGTTACCGAAGTCCAAGAAAGTGTTGATGACTCAGATGGATCAGAGACTGCATATCGACAAGTTGGAGGGGATCTTAGAGTTGGCTGTGGAGGGGTGTACACAAATTATGGAGGTAAGCCCTGTCCGTTGTGTGCGCAGGCGCGATAGCTATCATTCATCGGACACTGGGTCTAGGGTTTAGTGGTGGCTCCTGCAGATGAGAATACACATTACGTTCACGTATTGTGATGTGTCAATTGAGGGGTCGTATCCATTGGACTGACAGGACGGTGCGGTGAAGTGTGGTCAAGTGTAGTGGTTTTTCGATGTAGGGTTTAGGGTTTGTCGATGTAGGGTTTAGGGGTTTTCGATGTAGGGTTTAGGGTTTTCCTATTGGTATCCCACAAGTTCTCACGGGCTGTCTGTCTTCGGTGTCAAGGGCGGATAGGGTTTTTCACCAGAGAGTCGGTGCCCTCGAACAGTACTATGCATTGCATCCATTATTCATCACCTTTTACACCTGTGGTCACAGCGTTTGACTTTCCCAAGGGTTTTGGGTTTCAGGGGTTTAGGCGTTTGGGGTTTTTAGGGTTTGGCCTATTGCTTCGTTCCATATTCCTCACCGGTTGTACCATCGGCTGACTTGCCCAATGGTTACTGTTTACTGCGTCGTTTCATATGTGCATTCCATTACACGTCCAATACTCATCTGTTCATCTCATTTTTGAATTAATTGTAATCTCTGAACTTAGTTTTAATCTCTGAGCTGGTTCAATGCTTTGTATTGTCGACCCGTACCAATCCACATATGCAAGGTTCATATGTGCGATGGCAACCTAAATGATATTATATACATCCCTTCGAATTCATTTTCCACCTTCGTTTATTTTGCAGAAATTCGATGCAACAGTGCGCGCTCGCACAGCGCAACTGCTGACCAGCTATGGTAAATAATGATGTGAATAGAAGGGTATGTATGTATAAATAAAAGGATATGTATTTAAATAAAAGTAATAGATATAAAATAAAGGGTACATATTTAAAAAATAAAGGTAAAAAATATAAAAATAAAAGGGTATATATTTAAATATAAAAAATATTAAACAAGTAAACGGGTATATATAAATAAATAAGAATGTATAAATGTATAAATAAAAGGGATTGTATTTAAATAAAAGAAATAATCGTATGAATAAAATAGT